CAGATTTGAATTTAACTGAGGAAGTTGTGATCCCTCGGATATCTGTTCTTGGCTCATTCTGGAAGTTTGTGGTCTTGGTTCCCGCCCAAGTTTGTCAGTTGCTGAGGTAATCTTGTTGGCTTGCCTTACTTGATGATCTGCAATTTGGATCCCATATAATGAAGAGGCTAATGGAAAAACTTGGTCCGGATGCGAAAAGGCTCCTTGGCTGGCCAGGCTGGCCTCCTGAATTAGTGGGTAGGCATGAAGAAACTTTATCCCCTGTTCTAGTCGAACTGGGTCAATAAGCTGAGGTGCCATCTTCCCCAGTATACATCAAATGCAAAAGATAGCTGAAAATATCAGGCTGTATGTCAGTTGGTTTCAAACGGACACACTCACTGAAAGAGAAAAGCAAAAAATGTTTCATTGGACAAGAGGTGGGATAAATACAGGGTGACCCAGAAGTCTTAGTGTAGCTTTAAGCTATTAAAACTTGTTGAACTTAAAAGCTGTAATAGCTTAAAGCTGCACTAAGACCTTTGGGCCACCCTGTGTAAGGGGTTATTTTATAATCTTACATATTTTAATATTTTCATACTTTTCAAAGCACACACACAATATAATTCTGTGCCTCACAATATGTGAAATAGGTAGACTAGGAATTCCTATTCTCATTTGAAAGGCATTGAATTAAAGATGAAAATTATATAGTAGAAAGAATATTGGACTCTAAGTTAGGAAATCTGAGTTCTGCTCCCAATTCTGTTACCAACCAAAACCATGTAACTCTAAGTTAGTTACCATCTCTCTGGAGTCTACATTTCTATGGCTTTAGATAAGGAAGCTGAGGCCCAGAGAGGTTAAATTACTTGCCCAAAGTTGTATCACCCAAGTGGGGAGGCAGCAACCAGGCCCATGACAGCTGTCCTCCAGTACATGGTCAGGAGAATTAGATTTGTTCTGCTTGAAGACAAAGTAAACATTGCTTGGAGGTGGATTTAAGATGTCTGAGATAAGGAAAAAACCTCCAAATAATGATACCTACCAAGAGTAAAGTGGGAGGCCTGATGGGGTGGTGGACAGGCTAGATGACCACTTGTTAGTGATTGCAGGATCACAGATTTAGAGCTGGAAAGGTGCTTGAGATAAGTAGTTCCTACTCAAATATACATGGGATTAGGTGGTTCTTTGTCATTCCTTTTAACTCAGATTCTGATCTTTTTTCTAGTGGCTGGTCTAGATGCTACTATATATCAGAAATATACTGGGCAGATAGAAGTAATTGAGTGGGTCCTAAGACCCAGCTTTAGTTTTCATACCAATTTTGAAAGAAAATATACGTGTTTTAAATAGACAAAGCTATTATACATGCTTTTAGTTGGAGATCTGCAAGTCTTAAAGCATTATATAAATACTACTGGTTATTAATTTATATGTACTTTGTAATTATAAAATGTTCTATAATAAAAACAGATTACAAAGTGCATGTAATCTCTGCTTTCAGAATTTTGTTTGTAGAGGGCTCTTACAGGTCATCTAGTTCAACACTTATATTTTACAAATGAGAAAAATGACATTCAAAGTGGTTAAGTAATTTACCCAACATCACTTGGTCAGTTAATTGAAACCAGAGACCAAGATTCCCAACTCACAATCCAGTATTCTTTCTACTACACTATTCTTCATAAATATTTTTGCTATCCATTCATTTATAGACATTTAAAACATTTTTAATGTTAAAAGATACTAATATGCATGTTTATATGCTAAACTTATCATTTGACCAGAAGATAAAAATGCTGAGTTAAACTAGATATGTCTGTGGTATAGGAAAATTTATTGAAGTTATCTTAAGATGAAATATGAAGAAAGATATGTAAAAGTAAAAGCAGTTACTCTGACAATAAAAATAGCAATATTTAAACATTTTTCTACTAATTTTTTCTTTAAGAGGACACAGAATAGTATAGCTGTAACGTCATGAAATCTTTCTTTGTTTCTATTTTCTCACCTTAAAAATTAGAATAACCTACAGGTGTTCCTCCTTTTATGTGACCTATATAGGCTCATACATTTTAGAGTGGGAAGGGATGTTAGAGGCTCCTGAATCTACCTGCCTATGGTCACAAAGTTAGAAAGCATATGAAGTGGATTTGAACCCAGGTCTTCCTGACACTAAGCTAGCTCTTTATCTACTATATCATGCTGCCTTGTCTGTTCCTAGAAAGATGTATGTAGGGGCAGCTAGGTGTCGAAGTGAAAAGAGGATTGGTCTTGGATTCAGGAGGACCTGAATCTGGCCTCAGACACATAACACTTACTAGCTGTATGACCCTGGGCAAATCACTTAACCCCACTGCCTAGGCAAAAAAAAAAAAAGATGTATGTAATAAGACTACTTTAAATGCTCTAGAAGAATTCAAAGAACTCTGATATGGTTTTACATATATTGTGAAGGCTATTTTTTATAATGTAAATTATCAATCTCAAACTTATATCTTCTGTAAATAGAGGTTTTATATTCTTCTGAAAGCTGGGAAACAGAATTAAGAAACAAAGCCTGTGCCTAATGTCCCAACTATAATATATCTTTACCCTCCATTCCTTTCATTCCAAATGTGTCAAGTTACCTTAATTACCTACTGCACCACAGGCTAGATTCTGGCAACTTCCAACTGTATCTCAGATGGTCTAGAAAAGTTAAAAAACCCAAAGGCAGACTTGTCTGTAGTTTCTCTATATATGTTGTGGTTTGGCTTTTAGCTTACTATCTCATAAGAATCTTTTGACTAGAATGAAAACCAATACGATTTGAAGTTACTGACAGAGATGAAAACTCTGTAAATTTTCAAAGTAACTTCTCGTTTTAGCTCAGTTGCTTCCTTGACCTTATTAAAAATAAAGAATGACTTTAAAGAACGAAAAAGTATAACTGCTAAATATTAGATTTTATCATTGGGATGTGCTGAATACACAGTTTCCTTTTCTTGTTGCCCTCTTGACAGCCCCAAAGAAAGGTGGTACTCACTGGGCAAGTTCACTTTAACTTTTACACAAGACCAGAGACATCTAGTGGTAATATAAAGACATAAGCCTACCAGATAAATTGGAAGCAAGTGCTGTTTCAATCTCAGTATTTTTCTCACATGATCAGTTAAATTTAGTGGATTATTATCATTTATCTGGGTGAATTATGTTTTTTTTGGGGGGAGGAGGTTGTTTGTTTTTAAAGCAGCCATTGGCCTTACATTTCTGTCACTCTTGATTATCATTAATTTCTAATGCAATTGTGGAGAGGTAGGAAAGGCATTAGCTACAATTCTGATTGTGTTCAAATTAAACTTTCTGGCTAACTGTAATATATTAAAACCCATGACTCTATTGAAATAAATATTTTGGATACTGGTATAATGTTTACTAAGTATTTATGTAATACCCTATAGTTTAAATGCTTTACCAGCAATCAGTCCATAGATATTCCTTACACTTGTCACCAACTGGAACCCACTCTTATACTGTTATTAAAAATTCAAAATAAAAATCCATGTTGTTTATAGCAACATCTTAATTTAGTTCATTAATTTGTATTAAATGAATATATTCCAAAGTATTTATAAAATCAATAAAACATATAAACAGAATAAACATTTTTAATGTGTCAGGTTAAAATAAACCATTCAGTGCTATTAATTCTATAATTCATTAATTCATGAAGTGCCAACTATATGCAAGGTACTATTTTTGGAAATGTGGATGATGAAAAGATATAGTATTTAAGATGAGCTTTGGAGGGCGTGTAGAATTTTGCCATGAGATGTGTGTGGGTAGTATGGACATTACAGATTATGGTAACAGCAGGAACAAAACTAGAGATGAGAAAATGAAAGAATGTGCAGAGATCACGGAGTAGTGAATAGCATGTATGTGTACAGTAAGGTAGGCTGGGGTCAAATCATGGAGGGCCTTGAATGCTAGGTTGAATATCGATTTCATTCAGTAAGCAACTGGAAGCACTGTAGGTTTTTGAGAAAAGACTGATTTGAACAAATCACTGCTTTAGGAAGATTAATTTGGTAGGTGTACATAGAATGGTTTGGAGAAGAACATAGTAGAGCCAAGAAGATGCAACAGGAAGTCATTACAGAAGTTCATCTATGACATAATAGAGGTCTGAACTATGATGGTATTATTAGGAATGGAAAGGATGGGATAAATATCTTTCTGGTCATTTTGACAGTATTTGACATGAGATGGTAGAGTGCTAGGGAGAAGAAACTGTCAGAGAAAATCCAGAGAATCTGAACCTGGCTAAGTAGGAGAATGATAAAATTAACAAAAACATAGAAGTCCAAAAAAGAAACTAAAGTTTAAGGGGTTAAAAGAGTGAGTTTAGTTTTAGACATACGGAGTCTTGGGGAGTATTTGCTAGACATATCGAAGAATTATTTTAAGGTATGGGGGTGGGACTAAGGTATCTGACATGCAGTGATCTGGTGATAGTGGGATATCCAAATGGAAATGTATGAATATTAGAACTATAGGATCAAGGTTTTAAAGACAGAACAGGACTAGAAGGAATTTGAGTCATCAGCATGATGACTTTAATTAACAGACATGATAATTAAAGCCACTGAGTAAGTAAGATTAAGAAGGAACATAATGTAGAGAAGAGTAAGATGGCTGAGTGCAGAATCTTAAGAAATGCTTACATTTTATACTAGGAAGAAGAAAAGCTAGCAAGGGGGGGTGGAGCCAAGATGGCAGAGTGAAAGCAGTAACTTGCTTGAGCTCTCCTCCAAACCCCTCCAAAAATGGCTCTAAACAAATTCTGAAGCAGCAGAACCCACAAAAAGACAGAGTGAAACAAATTTCCAGCCCAAGACAACCTGGATGATTGATCAGAAAGGTGTATCGCGATGGGCTGGGAGTGCAGCACGGCCGTGGGTGCGCAGGCCACAGCAAACCTGGAGCAGGCCTCAGAGGACTGAATCTCGGGCAGCTGTGGAGGTTTCCAGACTCCTCAATCCACCAATGCCAAAGACAATTTAGAAGGTCAGTGGGAAAAGTCTGTTTCTGTTGGTGCCTGAGAAAGGAAGGCGGGGTCTCAGCTCCATTCCCCAAGAGCGTGGCCGGGAGGGGGGAGGGGGCGGGGGCAGCTGCTTCCCAAGCTTCCAGCCCACAGACTGAGGGGGAATCCAGTGGCTGATCAGAGAGGGATTGCAGGGATCTCTTTGCCAGTGCTGAGGCAGGAATCTCTTGCTTTGCCTGTGTTTGGATCTGGACCACAGTTCTGGGCGGCGGCGGTGCTGGGGTGAGGAGGAACACTGGCGTGGTAGAGCTTGGAATGGCTGTGGAGAGGAACCCTTCCTCACAGTTACAGGACAGAAAGGAATACTTGTGGTCACAGGCCAGGAAAGGAGTAAAAACCTCCCCCCTTATCATACCACCTTGGAAGAACTGAAAATTTACAGGTCCCTACAAGTATCTCTGAAAACAGCTGTACAAACCCCTGAAGCTTGGGACACTACATTCTCCACACTGGAAGCAGATTCATACCTTAACAAAGAGTTTAAAACTCAAGTAATTGGCCGGGATCATGAGCAAGCAGAGCAAAAAGAGTCAGACTATATTATCTTACTTTGGTGAAAAAGAAGATCAAAATATACAACCAGAAGAAGACAACAAAGTCAAAGCTCCTACATCCAAAGCCTCCAAGAAAAAATATGAATCAGTCCCAGGCCTTGGAAGAGCTCAAAAGGGATTTGAGAAGCAAGTAAGGGAAGTAGAGGAAAAACTGAGAGTGATGCAAGAAAACAAAAAACAAGTCAACAGCTTGCTAAAGGAGACCCAAAAAAATACTGAAGAAAATAACACCTTAAAAAATAGCCTAACCCAAATGGCAAAAGAGGTCCAAAAAGCCAATGAGGAGAAGAATGCCCTAAAAAGAAAAATTGGCCAAATGGAAAAGGAAGTCCAAAAGATTACTGAAGAAAATACTTCCTTAAAAATTAGAATAGAGCAATTGGAAGATAGTGACTTTATGAGAAATCAGACACAGTAAACAAATCCAAAAGAATGAAAAATTAGAAAACAATGTGAAATATCTCATTGGAAAAACAACTGACCTGGAAAATAGATCCAGGAGAGAGAATTTAAAAATTATTGGACTATCTGAAAGCCATGATCAAAAAAAGAGCCTAGACATCATCTTTCAAGAAATTATCAAGGAAAACTGCCCTGATATTAGAACCAGAGGGCAAAATAGAAATTGAAAGAATCCACAGATCTCCTCCTGAAAGAGATCCCCAAAGGAAAACTCCTAGGAATATTGTAGCCAAATTCCAGAGTTCCCAGGTCAAGGAGAAAATATTACAAGCTGCCAGAAGGAAACAATTCAAGTACTGTGGAAACACAATCAGGATAACACAAGATTTAGCAGCTTCTACATTAAAGGACCGCAGGGCATGGAATATAATATTCCGGAGGGCAAAGGAGATAGGATTACAACCAAGAATCACCTACCCAGCAAAACTGAGTATAATCCTTCAGGGGGAAAAATGGTCATTCAGTGAAATAGAGGACTTTCAAGCATTCTGATGAAAAGACCAGAGCTGAATAGAAAATTTGACTTTCAAATACAGGACTCAAGTGGAACATGAAGAGGTAAACAGGAAATAGAAATCATAAGAGACTTGTTAAGATTGAACTGTTTACATTCCTGCATGGAAAGATGATATTTATAACTCATGAGACCTTTGTCAGTATTAGGGTAGTTGAGGAAAAAAATATATATGTATAGTATAGATAGATAGATAGACAGATAGAGGGCACAGGGTGAGTTGAAGATTAAAGGGTCATATCTGGAGAATAAAATTAAGGAATGAAAGAGGATTATACTGGGAGAAGAAGAAAGGGAGGGGTAGAATGGGTTAAATTATCTCACAAAAAAAACAGAAAAGAAAATGCTCTTACAGTGGAGGGGAAATGGGGGAAGGTGAGAAGGAATGAGTGAATCTTATTCTCATAGGATTTGGCTTACAGAGGTAATAACATACAAATTCAGTTGGGTAAGGAAATCTGTCTTACCATATGGGAAAATAGGGGGAGAAGAGGACAAGAGAGCAGGGGGATGATAGACAGGAGAGCAGATTGGGAAAGGGGGCAATGAGAAGCAAGTACTTCTGAGGAGGGACAGGGTCAAAAGAAAGAATAGGATAAATGGGAGGGCAGGATAGGATTAAGGGAAATAGAGTTAGTTTTTCACATGTCTACTATGGAAGTATTTTGCATAACTGCACATGTACAACGTATATTGAGTTGCTTGCCTTTTCAATGAGGGTGGGTGGGGAGGGAGGAAGAGAGAAAATTTGAAAAAAAAATATGTTTAAAAAAAATGTTTTCACATGGTACTGGGAAATAAGAAATAGGAAATGGGGTACAGAAGTCTATCCTGCCCTACAGGAAAATAGAAGGGGAAGGCGATAAGAGAAGAGGAGAGAGATAGAAGGGAGGACAGACTAGGGGAAGGGATGTTTAGAATGCATGCCATCTTGGGTGGGGGGAGGGGGGAGATGGGGTGAAAATTTGGAACTCAAAAACTTGTGGAAGTGAATGTTGAAAACTAAAAATAAATAAATTTATATTAAAAAAAAAAGCTAGCAAAGGAGACAGAGGAGGAACAGTTGGAAGGGCAGAACAACCATGTCCCAAAAGGAAAGCGAGGAAGGAGTTTCTAGAAGCAGGGTTTTATTAACGATGTCAAGTATTTTCAGAGAGGTTTAGGATTGAAAAAAAAAAAGCCTCTGCCAAACCTGACAAGGAGATGGACTCAGGACTTTATAAATAAGACAGACCTTGCCATCCTGGCTGGCTTGGGGAACTGAAATGATTTATCCAGGGTCACAGACTCTGGTTGGTGGCAAAGGACCAACTGGATTGAGGTGTTCTAACTCAGTTATCACACACTCCTTCCATTATACCATTGTGGTGACAACTTTCAAAGAAACTGTTTCAGCAGAGTGGTCAAGGCAGAAATTGCTGTTGTTGTGTTTGTCCTTTGTTCTTGAAGAGAACCATGACATCAGGGAGATGATAGGACTTCCAATTGCCTTTGATTTGAGTGAGGGCGGCCTGTGCAAGGTCACCAGCCTCACTTTGTCCTCCACAGCCATCTGGGTCCAGTGGCCAGATATTCATCAGGACGACTGGAGATGGCCCAGGGGCAGAAATTAGACTGAAAGAGAAGGGTGGGGAGTAAGGAAATGGAGGCAGAGAAGAGGACAATTCTTTGTACAAGTACGCCAATAAAAGGAAAGAGAAGGCAGTAACACAAAGGAATAGAAATGTCAAGGAAAATTCCTTTTAGGACAGGTCAGACCTAAATAGCATTTATTCTTAGGAGTTGACAGAATAGATTAAAGAAAAGAGAATGAAGTGATAACTGCTTCAGCAAAATTTCAGAAGAAACCTTGTAAGTTAAGTAAGAAATAATATTTCTCTGTCCTAAAAGCTCTTCTAGACTTGCTTTTCTCTCACCTCTCCCCTACCCTCTTCCCAAATTGGTTGAGGACAAAAGGACTTTCTTAACGAAAATAGATTAAAGGTAGAAACTAAAGTTGAAACATTTAATAACTCCTTGCCCATCCTGCAGCCTGAAGGATTGTGATACTGACCATTGGGAGGATACCTTTGAGGGAAGTGGTCAAGTAAGAAACTGAGTATTGATTATTGTTCTGGAATGTTAACAGGAAACTGTATTTTAACATTATTTTCTTTTCCTTGTTTAAGATTCCTATACATTACCTCAAATCTTGGGGAAAGAGATATCTGCTGACCCAGGTAAACTATGCCACTTTGAACATTTCTCTCTCTAAGCTAGAAATGCCTGGATATAGAATAATGTTAAATTAAATTAAATTTTTCTAGCAGGCTTGTGCCTAAAATGAAGAATATGGTAAATTAACATATTCCTTTGGCAAAAGGAATTGTAAAAGCCCACTTGAGATAAAATAGCATGAAACTGTAATAAAATCTGTTAACAGTTTTAAGAACTGATAAAAGAGTATGTATATAAAAAGTGTCCCAGAAGTGCTCTGCAAATTAAGGATGGGAGCAGAGAAAGCATATAATAGAAGCTATCCAGAACTGTAAAATAGCACAATGGTCACTAAAGATGGTCAAGACGTTGAAGCACAGTAATTATTTCATTGAAATGACTGACTATAAGACCCAGGCTGGAACTAAAAGAAAAGAGTAGTAGATATTAGAAGGTTAAAGGTCATATTTATTATCAACCATTTTATTTACCTGGTCTGATGGACAAACAACATCTTAAAGTAATTGGAGAATGAAGCAAGGACTGATTTGTGTGCCTTGAAGTAAACATCACCAATAGCAACTGTGCAGTCACACAGGAAACCAAACTCCCGTTGAGCATTTAACTGTTGCAGCAGAATAAGTCCATGGTTGGCCAAATCCATTTTTTAAATCTGCAAAGCAAATGATTTTCCTTAAGAAAGTTGATTTCCAAATTAGCATGTACCTTCACAGTTATGAACATTTTGCATTTCCAACAGTAACAACATTTTGAATACATACTTTTCATTTTATTTATTTTATGTACAAACACTATAACATCCCACCATTGAGACAGGTACAATTGACTTTAAGGGTGTGCTTATGTATGAATATGTATGTATACACTGCTGGGACACAAAAGTGCTTAGTAAATGTATCACTAATATGTCCATGGCAAAGCATGGTGTCCCCCCACCCCTCCCCTGCCCAAATTCTAGCTCTTTTTGTTCCCTCCTGGTGAACTACTACTAGTAGAAACATTCTTCCTCAAAACTTAATCCCATTAATTCCTATCTTCCTAAAATCAGAAACCAAGCACACATGAACTCCTAATTTTAATCTATTGGTAGCAGATAAGCTGCCATTTTTGCTGGCTTTATTTTCTTCTCTTTTCTCCCTTTTCATTACTACAGTCAAATGAACTCTTTTTCTAAAGGCCTACTACATACATTTCAGTCCTTAATCAATGGGCATGAATTTCCCATTCTATTTCTGTTCCAAGTATACCTTGGCAAATTTATAAATTCATAAATGTGACTTACAATGGGTTGGGAGAGAAAGTTTTAAGTGACTGAAAACTGTCACAGGGAAAGAAGGAAATACAGTAGCTGGCGTTTTCTACTAAGATTTTCCCATCCATCAACATCAGAAACAAATGGCAGTGAAGGTAAAAGGCAGAGATACTAGGGAAACAAACAAGTTTAGGGCAGGGAGAAACAAAAGGGAAATGGGGGATGACTGTGAAAGCTTTGCTAAGGCAGCATATACCGTTGGTCACAATTTAGAGAAAACTGCTTCAAAACTTTGCTTGACAATTAGGTAAGAGTTTGCCTTCGACAGATATATTCTGAGGATTCACAGAGTACTTTATGGTCCTAGTATAAGCCCTTCCCTTACCAACAACAGACCAAACTGAAAATAGAAGGTGTCCTTAAAGTTGTAGTATACTTTTAAGTTTTAATAACTTCAGAACATACAAAGGCTACACTTCTAAAACATTATTTGAAAGTTTAATTACTTAAATTTCTTTTATGCTTATAGTTTTGTGAATTCTGGAAAATACCTAAATATTTTTTACAATTTAATTTTCTGCATGCCACGTTCTCAGACTGGTAGATCAGTAAAGGAGGTCCTCTTGCTTGGTCACTTTGATCAGCTGATCTATCTCCATTACACTTCTTCTCGTGGGCTCACATCAAAATTATCATGCATGCCTCAAAACCTTTTTTTTGTGTGATCTCAATGCTACGATTACAAATGCTATCCTTTTAGTCACTGAGCAGGTGCTGATGAAAATTTTTACAAAATTCAAAAACTGACTAGAGGGATGTATAGCACAAGAAGGTGGTTATGTTGAAGTATAATAAGAAACTTAAAAATATTTAAAAATTTTAAATAACTGCTAAAAATTTTTGGTAGGTTTATAGCACTTATACTTCTATAGTTATTAAAGCTTAAACCTGCCCTAAGTTGGTACAACCTGTACTACATGGATAACATTATCAATTACACTGATACTTACTACCTACATGTATATCTAACTTTAGCTCCCATTATATTATCACAATCTGGTCGATTTGCACAGAAGATATCAGGAAGTAATAAAATATGTTTCAACTTGGTGGTAGTTCAATTTAAGTATGGTATATGAGAAAGTTTTTAGGTTCTAGCTTTCAACAGATATGTATCTCTAGGTGTGACCTCACAAAATGCATGGCTTTGGGTCTTATCCTTCCCTCTATCTTAAAGTAGACTAAGTTAAACATTTATAGTAGAAAAATGAGATTGCGAGAATACAGTAAAGGATGTAATTATTAATTGCTTTCCTTTAAAAGAGCCAAACAGGCATTTTAGGTTTTCAATTTGGGAAAATTTCCTTAGAGGGCAGGAAATGAAATGGGGAAAAAATATAAACAGATGGAAATATGGGAGGGTAACTAAATGAAAACAAAAAGGAAACAGGACTAAATTCTCATGGAAAATGGGAATGAATAATTGATGTCTTATTTTTAACAAAGAAAAATCTCAATCATTTCATGACTTACTCAATATAAAGAAATAAATCTCATGTAGGCAGAACTGTTGTTATGGCGCAACCAAATGGGGGCACTCTGTCCTTCCAATGGTTAGGAAGTCAGTTTTACCTAGTGTCAGAAAGCAGCATATCACAATGGCTAGCTGATGCATTCTTATTAAAGCATATGTGTGTATGTTCCCTGTCTTCTAGAGGTATTGCTTCTTTTCTTTCTTGTGACTTCCCTTGATATTCATTGTAATGAGATTTCTTTTGCATTTTTTTATTTTTAAAGGACAAACATAGGTACTGGTGATTTCCATGGCTTACCCTGATATCTGCCCTGACAGCTAAAGAATGAACCTAAGGGATGAACTTACTTTACTGAATACATGCAAGGGATGGTAGAAAGATCAATGAAGACAATGGAACTCAGAACAAATTTATTGATAAATAATAGCTGACTAGATGACTGATACTGGAAACACACTACCTTCTTGATAAAGAGGTGATGGATCACAGGTGCTGAATGTTTCAAAGTCAGAGTGCTGTATTAAATAGTTTTAACAGTTAGATTTCTCCCCCATTATAAAAGAGGGTTCTATGGAGAGGAGTTAGCATTTTGTAAATGGCAAAATATTTGCTCATTATCACAAAACAAATATTTAACGAATTTAAAAAATCACTAAACTGGGATTCAGGACACCTGGATTCTATCACTGGCTTTATTATTTTATTATACCATATAATTATACTAATTATTATAGTCTTGAGTGAATCTCTTCATTTCTTTGTCACATTTTCTTCATGTATAAAATGAAAAAAAAATTTAAAAAATATTTAAAACATTTGCTGTGCACCCATTATGTGCAAGGCATTGTAGCAGGCAATGAGGGTGCAAAGATGAAAAAAATGAAATATTTCATGACCACCAAGTTCACAATTCAGCAGAATAATTAAACATACAGAAAAAAACACGGAAAATAATTAATTGTCTTTAAAAGGTCAGAGTGCCCTGACAGAATAAAAGAAGTAAGAGTATTTGTTATTAGTAACAATAGCTCATATTTATAGAGAGCTCTGCAGTTTTTAAAGTGCTTTACATACATGCTCGGCCATTTCTAGCAGGAATTATCGAGGGCTACATGGATGTAGTAGTCCTTGAGAAGGACCTTGAAATAGAAGAATGTCAATAAACAGGAGATAGGGAAGATGGAAATAGTTCCTCCAAACATTAGGAATGTTAAGGCAGGACAAAATTGAGGAAGAACATACTTCAATTTGGCTACCCTGCAGAGTGTGTGAAAGGGAGAACTATGGAATAAACCTAGAAAGGTTATAAAATATTGTGAACAGTTTTGAATGGCAAGTTAAGGAAACTTTTATTCACAAGATGATGGGTATGATGTCCAAGATCACAGTTTTAAAACTCACATTTACTAATTCTAGTCTTAGTGTTATGGGCAATGTAAGTTTCTGACCAGTGAGCAACCTGATTATATTAGGAAAACTATATCAGTGAAGTGAAGACGGATTAGAGGTAAGAAACTGGAGACAAGGTAGACCACTGGAGAAGTGATAAGGACCTGACTAGAATGGTAGCAGCAAGGGTGGAAATGAGGAGAAGGTGGAAGGAGTAGGGGAGAGATAAGATAGAGAGAAATTTCAGAGGTACAACTGATAGGTACTAACTAGAGGTGGGAGGTGAGGAAAATTAGAGAACTCAAGAATGTACCAGGTTTCAGCTGAGTGGCTAGGACAATGATGTGGTGCCATGAACAGAAGTTAGAAGAAACAGGTTTTGAAGGAAGGATGATTGAGGTCAACTTCAGATACGTTAAGTTTTAGGTATTACTAGTACAACTGGTGGTTGGAAGTGAGAGACTAGAACTCAGAGCAATTGAGTTAGCTGGGGGTGGAGATTTGGGTATAATCTGCCTGGTAGGATAATTGAAACTATGGCAATTGATAAGACTGCCGAAAGAGAGAGACCAAGAATATGTCTTGGGGAATGACCATAACTGGGGGCTCAGAGGACAAAGAGGAAGTAGCTAAAGAGACAAAGAGGAGCGGTTTCAGAAGTAGAAAGAGAATTAGGGGACAGCAGTATTAAGGAAGATAAGGGAAGAAAAAGTCTCAATTAAGAAGAATGTGGTTATAATGGTGTTAGATGTTGCAGAAAGGTGAAGGAGGATGAGGATTGATATGTTGCTACTATACATGGTTTTTAGGAGGTAACTGTTAAGATTGGCAGGAACACAATTTCTATTGAGGAGTAGGGTCAAAGGGGTCATTCTACACTGACATCGGGAGTGAACGAGGTTGTGAAGAAAAAAAGTGATAGACTTTAACATCTATAAGGTTTCTTCTTGCTCTAATATTCTATGATGATTCTAAAGCACTTTCCTTTTTTTTTTTTAAAGGCTAACCTGGAAAATCCTAGTCACAGAATCTCAATTTTTTTTAGGGACCCTTCACCTGAACAAGAATTTGGTCTGCAACATATCCATAAAGTTACCATTCAGTTTTTGTTGGAAGACCTGTGGTGATTTTGGCAGTAGCAAAAAATTGGGAACAAAATAGGTGCTGATCAATTGGGGAATGAGCAGCGAACAAAGAGAGGCATCGTGGTACAGTGGAAAGAGTCTCCCTAGTTTGTAAACCTGTGTTCAAATCCTGCATCTGTTGAGTATTACCTACCCCTAGGGAAAGTCACTTAATCTCTCTGGGCCTCAGTTTCTTCATCTACAATATGAAAGGATTGGACAAGATGATCTCTAAGTTCCCTTCTGGCTCTAAATGTAATGAAATACTATTATGCTGTAAGAAACAACAAATAAGAGGAATTAAGAGAAATACAGAAAAATTTGTAGGAATCAATGCATATTGAAGTAAGTAAAATAAGGACAACAATATAGACCAGTGGTTTCCAAAGTAGGGAAAAGGGGATGGCCCATGTTCAAGCAATTCAAGCAAAACAGGGTGGGGAAATGGGTTACAACCCTTCTCCCTGAAAATACTCAATCTTTACCATCTTCATCTATTATTGCCTAACAATTTACCACTCTGTTCTCCCTCACCAGTGTACAAGAAAGATTTCACCTTTTGTATCAGGTGTTAGTGTCCTGGAGTAATCATAATCTGAGATTCAGGCACTTACATTAGTTGCACAAAAGCTGTTGGTAAATTTCCCACCCCTCCCCTCCTTCGTTCAGGCTCTTGGCTCTAAGCCAATGAGTCAGAGTGTAACCCTTTTGTTTTCAGACATAGTCAGCAGGCATGGATTGGGTTTATGAACTGAGTTGCAAAACTCTTCCTCAAACATACCCCTCTTCCAAACTTCTCTATTTCTTTTGTGGGTACAACACTAACCTTCCAGTCACCAGTGTTTGCAAACTTGCTGTCATTCTCAATTCCTCACTTTCACTCTGCTGCTGTCCCCCTTCTCCTACTTACAAGGCCACCACCTTCGTTCAGACCCTTAGTACTATTTTTAGGCTCACCTACACTACTTTAATAGCCTCCTAATTGGTCTCCCTGCCTCAAGTCTCTTCCCTCTCCGATTCATCCTCTGCATAGCTACCAAAAGTGATTTTTGCTTAAAGCAAAGTTCTGACCATGTCACTCCCCTACTCAAATTCTACTGGCTCCCTATTACCTTTAAGATCAAAGCTCTTCACAACCTGCCTTCAATGTATTTTTCCAGACTTATAAAATGTCTACAGTCCAGCTAAACTGGCCTTCATGTTCTGTCTCACAGATAGAATTCCATCTACAAACACACGAATTCCAAATTAATGAAATAAGGCACAGAAAAAAATAAGATATATACTTGGGGGGAAAAAATGAGGTGCAGAGTTCCATACTCAAGTATTAGAAAAGAAGCTAATATTTTATCATGAAGTGTCTGTTTGGCAAATGCTGCTAAAGCAAACCAAAAAAACCCTTTAAAAATCTTTACCCCCAAAAGAATTACACATGACATTTCCTTCACACAGAGGTCTTCTGGGTTATTTCCTGGCAAAATACTTAGTTATATGCAACTTAAAGACATTAAGCATTTTTCTTTTACAAAAAAGTGTCCTAAATTTGCTGACCTTTTCTGTGACAATAGTGTATGGGTGTGTGTGTGGGGGATTTGGGAAATGGTGCCCCCCCCAATGAAACACACTCCACTTTCAAGTAAAGGTGACCTTTTAAAATTTTTATTCATATTTTTATGTCACCTTTATTTCCCAAAATTTCCCTCCAACCTCCAGTACCTACAGAGCTATCCTTTATAACAAAGAATAAAAACAAAAAACAAAAAAAACACCCCACGAGTAAAATTAGCAAATATGTCAAGTCCAACAGCATATGCAGTGTTCTGTACCAACAGCCCCCCATGTCTCCAAAGAAGGAAGAAAGGTACATTCTAATATCTCTGGGCCCAAGCTTGGTGATTCTAATTGCAGAGCACTGCTTTTATTTTGTTGTCATTACTTTCCATTTACACTGCTATAATCACTATGTAAACTGTTTTACTGCTTCTGGTTACTTCACTTTGTATTGGACTGTATGTTTTCCTACGTCTGCCTGTCTTCTTCATAGTCTCTTACTACATAGTAATATTCCATTCCATTCACATTCCATACAACCTATCTACCACTCCACAAATCAATGCACATCTGTTTGTTTTCAGGTTTTTGATACTATGGGTATTTTGGTGAATATCTGACTCCCTCCCCGAATCTTTGATGTTGTGGGGGCATATACTAATGAAGGGATCTCTGGATCAAAGGATACAGTCATTTTAGTTACTGTCTTACCATAAATCCAAATTGCTTTCCACAACAGCTGCACCAATTCCCAACTCTACCAATGGTGTATTAGCCTGTCTTTTAATATTCATTGCAACACTGGCCAGGAATCTTTTCTCATTTTTCCCAATTTGCTGAATATAAGGTAAAAACTTATTTTGATTTTATTAGTGATTTGGAATACTTTCATGTAGATATTAATAGTTTGCAGTTCTTTTGAGAACTATTCATATTATTTGACTACTTATCAATCAGGGAATAGCTTTCAGTCATATATTTTTGTCCATTCCTTATATACCTTGGATCCCAGACAAAAGTAATGTTTTAACAATGAGAAAGTGATTTTTTTTAAGAAATGTGATATTAAGAGAACATTTTGAATACAGATGTTTGGGAATGTTTCCATCATTATTCTGCCAAAAATAGTGTAAAGCATATCACCTGTAAAAACTTTCATCTGCACAATTAAAAAATTTGGAAATATAACTTTAAAATTTGTTTAAATCTTCCAAAACAAGGAGCTTTGGTGGGTTTGAATTCATTTGTTAAAAATTAAGATCTTTCTTTAATTTTGAGAACTTAACTCTGACATTATAGAAGATGGAAAATTACTAGCCCAATTACAATAAAAACCATTGCAGAGTTGTGATTGAAAAATGGGCATAATGACAGAATAGCCAATGACATGCTTCTTCTGTTTGGAGTTGTA